ATAGATTTCTAATGGATACCCTTGCTTCTACTCTTACAGCAGTACATATTCCAATGTTCAGAATAATCTTTTACAAATTTAAAACAAATTATATCATTTCCCTGCTCAAATACTTTCAATAGTCTCATCAACTTTAAATCCACAAGCTCTCGCGCCATGATCTCAAGGCCTTACATAATCTAGTCCATACTAGCATCTCAGATGCACCTCTAGTCAGTTTAACCTTTAACCTCTATTCACTGTGCCGCTCCAAAATCTAGATTTCCAAAGACTCTGAAACCACACCAAGCATATTTCCAATTAATTCTTCTTCCTTTTCCTTTTTTATTTTTTTTTTGGGGGGGGAAGAGTACTAGAGATTAAAATCAGGGTCTCACACTTTACCAACTGAGCAAAGCTCACTATCCTTTGGCTCTTTTAGTTTGTTTCCCAGATAAGGTTTCATGTTTAGTCCTGGCTGACCTCAAACAGTAATCCTTTCTATCTCTGCTCTAGAATAGCTGGGACAACACCCACCACACCCAGCTTTCCTTTTGCTTTTCTTTTCTTTTTTAACTTATTCCAAAAGTTCTTTAAGTCAAGACTCAAGTACTGCTATATCACTCTGTTAGTCAACAGACAAATGCTTGTTTAAGCCACTCAAAGAAGGGTATCCAAATTATATGTTAAAATTTAACTAGCTTTCATAAATTCAAGTTAACATTTGCATCTAGCTTTTAAATGTCCATTGGAAAACTGAACTAAAATCAGCTTCAGGAAGCTGGAACATCAAATTAAGGGTTTATATTTTATCTAATAAGCCAGCTACATAAACTTTAACACTGGGAATAACTACTTTTTTAGTTTTCAAATTCTACAATAACAATGTATCAAACTATGAGAGGCACATTTTACACTGTTCTATACTTTAAGTTTTTACATTTTACACTGTTAGAGTTTGGGATAATGTGATTGTATTACATATTTAAATATGAATTACAATTTAAAATTATATTTCAAAAAAAAAGGAAAAGGACTTACTATACAATACTGGTAGTTCAGAAATGGGAATCCCTGAATCCCATCCTATCTACCATTTTCAGTCCCTTGAGTTTTAAATTCATGCTGAAATCGGTGTAGCTTTCATGTACATTCTTGGAATCAAAAATGGATCATTGGTATGGTTAAAAATATTAAAATACCACTCCTTGCTGGGTACTGGTGGGCTTTCGTCTGTAATTCTAATACTTAGATGGCTGAGATCTCAAGATCAGGGTTTAAATCGAGCTGAGAGAAGATGATTTCAAGAGATTCTTATCTCTAATTAACCAAAAATAGTTGGAGGTAGAAAACAGCTCAAGAGGTAGAACATCACTCATAATTGAAAAAAAATCAATGAGAGGGGATGACATTGAGTTCAAGCCCCAGTATAAGCACAAAAAAAATTAAAAATTAAGCATAAAATCATGTATATTATAAACCATGTTAAAATACAGATTCAAACTCAGTAGATCTATTTCCTAGGTATTGTAAATGTTCCTGATTCTCAGGGAAAAAAAATTTTTTTAAGTAGCAAGACAATGACCCCTATATATACAGACTACCTAGGCACAAATTTAATGATACAGTTCTTTCTTTTATAGGTTAGCCTTTCTTCTCTAATTTGTATAATATATATTTTCTTATTCTCCCAGTGTTGAGATTTATCATTAATGGTTTTACTTTTATTTAATCATGATCTCCAAATTTTTTCATATCTTTTTGCTCTTCCATACACCAAAAGTATTATCTAAAATTTAAGAGTGAGGTTGAGGCCAAGAGCAGTGGCTAACAGTAATCCTAGCCACTTAAGAGGCAGAAATAGAGGATCACTGTTCTAAGCCAGGACCAAAAAAAAAAAGTTTGCAAGGCTCCATTCTCTACCAATGACTGAGCACAGCTTTGTTATCCCAGAGTGTCTAGGAACAACAATAAAAAGTCTAGGCTGGCGCAGGCATAAATGAAGACCTTGCTATGAAAAATAACCAATACAAAAAAAGTGGTAGCAGGGTGGGACAAGAGGTAGAGTATCTGCCTGAGTCCAAATACTAGGCCACCAAAAAATAAAAAGTAGAGCTGGGAATATAGCTCTGCTTAGAGCACTTTCCTAGTGTGAACAAAGCCCTGGGTTCAACCCCCCCTAGCAGTGTTAAACAAAAAAAGATGATTTGACATTAAGAGTAAAAAATCAACCTAGCTTGTATGTATTATAAGGGCTCTAAGCAAAGTAAAGCAAAGAAACACTAACAAAAAGTCATTACAACCAATTTTTATAAAATGAAAAAAAAACTTAAGTTCTACTTAAGGGTCCACCTACAAATAAAATTCAAGTATATCTGCCAGGCACTGGTGAATTTATGCCTGTGATTCTAGCTCCTCAGGAGGCTGAGATCTGGAGCATAACAGTTTGAAGCTACCTGGGTAGAAAAGTACAAGGACTCTATCTCCAATTAACCAGCAAAAAGGAATGGCACAAGTAGGACAGTGCCAACTATGAACAAGCAAGCCAAGTGAAAACACAAAGCCCTGAGTTCAAACCCTGCTGCTGAAAAAATAAATCCACTAGATAAATTATTCTTTAGACAGTATATTTTTGCTAGCTTTAAACTGCATTTTTTAATGAGTAAGAAAAATTCAGAATATTACAACTACATGTATAGAAGAACATTCTATCATAAGATACAATTTACCAGCTGCTTGAGAGGTTGAGATTCGGAGGATCAAAGTTCAAAGCCAGACCCTGCAAAAAGTTGGCAAGACCTTCCGTCTTAACAAACAAAACTGGGTATAATGATACATGCCTGTAATCCCAACATGCTGGTAGTGTAGGTAGAAGGAGAAGGTCTGTTCTCTGAGGCTGGACCCAGGCAAGAAAGCACAAGAACCTATCTGAAAAATAACTAAAAGGACTGGCACATGCTGAAGTGGTAGAAGCACCTGCCTAGCAAGCCCAAGGCCCCGAGTTCCTGAGTTCAGAAGCCCCATACTGCCAAAATCATCCTTTCCACTATGAATCTTACTCCACACTGATGTCCTGGTGATTTTCCAACAGGGATCCTAATGTGTCTTTAACTCAAAACTTACTGCATGTGTCTCTGTCACCTACAGAATAAAGCCCACACTCCTTCTTATAGCACGTAACTTTCAAGATCTGAGTCTCACTGGCCTCTCAAACCTCCTATCCCATTGAATTCCACTCATGTAACCCTTTAAACCACCCCCACACACATCAAAGTATCTAAATTTCCAACATATGTCCTAATATTTAATGTCTCAGTTTTTGCTTCAGTCTAAAATGTCCTTTACGTCTCCCCCTGGCTTCCTGGACAACTACTCTGAATCTTTAAAACCCAGCTTAAATCTCAGGAAATCGTCCAAAGACCTCATTTTCCCTTTACCCAATTCTAGGTAATAATGGTCCTGACATTATTCCAAACATTTTACTTGTAATAACTCAATTTTCACAATTACTCTTCCTACGAAGTATACCATTATTACTTTTGTGAACATGAAAACCGAATGATGGAGAGAAATAGCCTCCCCAGGAATATCCAACTGGATGGAGAAAGATAAAAAGATCTTAGGCTGGGAAGGTGGCTCAGTGGTAGAGCGCTTACCTTGCCTTGTCTTGCATGCATGAGGCCCTGAGTTCGATTCCTCAGCACCACATAAGCAGAAAAAAAAAGCCAGAAGTGGCACTGTGGCTCAAGTGGTAGAGTGCTAGCCTTGAGCTGAAGAGCTGAGGGACAGTGCCCAGGCCCAGAGCTCAGGCACCAAGACCAGACGCAAAAAAAAAAAAAAAAAAAGATCCCTATGTAACATACTTGAATTATTGCTCCTATCACAGTGAAATTATTTATACATTGAAGTGTAAGCTCCTTGAAGGTGGAGAGGATGTTGTATTTAACTCTAATCAAAAGTACCTGAAATAAAATAATCACTGGAAGCTTTTTTAAAGTAACATTCCTAACAAGTTCAAGGGAAAACCATTCAGAAACTAGCTCCCAAATAAATTTCTGAATATTCTGTATGAGTTCTATAACAGTTATTTTAAAGGATGTTTAAAATAACATTATTAAAGACATGAGATTACAGTCCTTGTAGACAATGAAATAAACTTATTTCGCAGTAGAGTGCTTAGTAAATCAAAACCCAAAGGGTCATTTGCTTAAGATTAATTTTTTTTCCTCACTAAATAAGAATTCTTGTTGCTTATCATTCGGGGCAGTGAAAAGACCCAAATTTACTTTGCTCAAGTGGAAATAAGCAAATCACAGATGAACATTACTAATTGCTTCTTTAAATCCAGCCAAGAAAGGTATATCATTACTCAATTAAAAGAAAATACATTTGCTTGACTAAGCATTTAACAAAAGAATTTCTAAGGTTATGTGGACTGGTATTTCATTATTCAAATAATAAAAAAAATCATTATCTTGAGGACAAAATAAAAGAAAAAAACCAAGAATATAAAATAACTATCACTATCAATCTGTAGACTATAGACTTCTATATTAAGACTCTGTTCAAACAGGTAGATATGTTACATTAAAGCATGTATGTATAAAGGACTGGAGGCATGGTTAACGTGGTAGAGCTCCAGCCAAGCAAAAAGTATGAGGCATTGAGCTCAAACCCCAGTTTGAAGAAAAAGAATAGAATCATGCATATGAGTCTATAATATTTCAGTGCCCATTCTTCATGACTCCTTAAAATTATAGTTATTTAACACTAATGACAAATGACCTCAAGACCAAATCTACTGCACTTAGAGTGCTCCCACTTACAGTCTTCTGAGCCACACTGAAGTACAGTAATTAAAACCCACAGGGACAGAACCAGCAGCAACAGCACACATCACAATACTTATTAGCATTCTCTGCACCCTGCCCAGCTTCTACATTCTAACTTGTACACTGTATCCAAAGTCTCAAGAGTTTAGGCCACATGACAGCAAACTCTAGCCCCCACATACATCTTACCATTTCTTTGTACATTCAACCATCAGCTCCTGGTAGGAAGCCACAAACTGGAACTTGGATGCATGTTTTCCCACGCGCTGGAGTCTCTTCCAAACTGAAGCCATGGTGATGGGTCAATAGACTGGAACACTTCTGGATTCGCAACACAGCAGCTTTAATAAAGCAGAAGGTCCAAAGCCAAGGAGCTTTACATGTAAGTCTGTACTTTTTAAAACTCAACTACTACTTGAAATGATGCTTGGAAGTCCGTAAGTCTTCTCCCAGTTTCACAGGGTAAATCCCATCTTAGATGAATGGCCCAGTCAAAAGCAGTATGATATACATGACAGGATGAGTGAGAGGAAGCTCCCTCACGGAGACATCACCATTCCACATTCGGGGCTATGTGACATGTATTCTGGAGGGCTGGGGGGGGGGGGGGGGAAGCAAAACAAAAGAAAAAAAATGAGAAAGAATATGAGAAGAAAGGCATAAGTGACTAGATAAGGCTGCAACCTACAGTACCAGTGGTCTACGTGTTTTTCAAACAATGAAACAAAACAACAGCCTCAAAAGCCACTAACATCAAAGGATGTAAGATACCAAGGGAGAAATGCCAGCTCAAACCGAAGACAAGGAGCAGCAAAATCAGGTAACTGGGCATCAATGACCATCCAGAGACTCCAGTCAGTCGGGGCCCTACCTTCTCCTCCCAGTACCACAGAAGGGAGAACAGAGCGGGAAAGTCTCAGGATGCCGTTTAATGTCCCCGGGGCCAGTCAGAGGGGAGGCGTGAAGTATTTTCGATAAACTTTGTTTTTCAGCTGGTAATTAATGGACTTGACTCCTGGAATATATGCTGGGGGGGGGGGGAAGGGGGAAAGTAGGGAGCAGGGAGGATTGGCTGTTGTTCAGTCAGAGGGGGGAAATGGATGGGAACCAGGCAGTGGAGGGAAATCGCCAGGCACAGGGAGGTCAATGTCCCCGGCTCCAGGCCACTTGGGTTCTCCTTCACCCAGGCTGCCAAGAGCAGGGAAATGGAAACTCCAGCCTGGGGTGGGAAGCAGGGACCCGCAGGGCTGGGGGAACACGCAGGGTGCGGGGCGCGGGGTGCGGCGCCTCCCCGCCCCCATCCTCTGGGAACAGCCTCCGGGAGCCCCGGGTGTCCTCGGGCACCGAGTCCAGATTCCTGCCCCCCGGGCCATGGCAGGCGGTGGCCCGCCGCCGTCCCTGTCACCTAGACACGGCCGCGAGACCCCCGCCGGGGCCCGAGCCCGGCCCCGCCTCTCGCCCCCTCCCACCCGCTCCTCACACCTCTAATCCCGCGGCCGGGCTGAGTGTGGCCCCCGCGCCCTCCTCAGAGCCGCTCCTCCATCGCCGCCGCAGCGGCAGCCGCCGCCGCCGCCACCACCACCGAGTCCTCCATCCCCGGCGGAGCCACATGGAAGTGCCAAGCCAGCCGCGGCTCTCCCCGGAGCCGAGGTCCGCAGCCCCGCAGGCGGACGGCGCCCCTCCACCCGCCCCCTCCCTGACGGACCACCCGGAGACCGTCCCCCACCCTAGGGAGCCATGCCCGAGCCTCCGCTCCGCGCCCAGCACCCCCTTCCCCCGCCTCCCTCCGCCGCCACCACCATCATTACCTCCCCCGCCGCACCTCTCACACTAACCCTACCCACCGCGGCTCAACCTCCGTCCGCCAGACCGCCATTGGCTAGGCCCCACTCGTGCCCCGCCCATCTAGGTGGCCGGGTTTTAGAGCTTCTGTGGCCTCTCATTGGTAGATCGACGTGCTCATCACAGAGGTCCCTCCCCTTAGCTCTTGAGGTGTTTTTTCCTCAGCCGGAACGCGGCGCACGGTCTATCCTTCTTTAAAGAAAAAAAAAAAACAACTGGAATCCACAAGGATGATCCCGCCCATTTTTCTGATTGGTTGAGAGAAGGAAGCAATGGGCGGGAGAAGTAAGGAGTGTTTATAGTGAACGGGAAGCTGATTGCAAAAGGTGGCTGTCCATCAAGGGTGTCGGGCGGAGTTTCTGGCTCTCGGTGGTGGTAGTAGAGTGCTAAGATAGCCGCGTGGATAAGGTGGTTTCTTTCCTGTTCACTTGGATCCCTACCTTAGGCGCGACTTCTACTATTTGCGACTATAGTTTTCCCCCACACAACCTTGTTTTCTATCCAATTAATTCTAGAGTTCTTCCCTTCACAAACTGAAGTACATACCCAGCCAGGCCCCTTGCCCAAGGATCAACGGAATTCAGTAAATAGAGCAAAACACAAGACGTACAAAATGCAATTCTTTTTGCTCTGTTTCTTCCATATTCTTTTAGATATGGTTTTTGTTGTAATTTGCTGTCAACCTCTTTAACCGGTATACTTCCGATGGATTTACGGGGCAGTAATTTTAATGAGGATGAAATAATAACAGAGTGTTGGAGCAGGGGCATTTCACTCTGTTAAAAGGGTCAAAGTTCATATACATTGTGTGTGTGTACATGTATATATAAGACAAGCTGGCCTCGAACTCACAAACCTATCTCAGCCTCCAGTACTAGGATTATGAGCTATCACACAGGGCTCCACTATCCCTTTTGAGGATATAAGGGAGAAAATAACATCGCAAAGCACACAAAATTGCTTTCAATTTTAAATAACTCACAGACTACTGTACAGAATAAAGACCAAGAATATAATTCTAGCTAGGCGCTAATGGCTCATGCCTCTATGTATTCCTGGATACTCTGGAGGCTGAGATCTGAGGATCACAGTTCAAAGCCAGCTGGGGCAGGAAAATCGGTGAGACATCTCCATTAACCAACAAATAACTGGAAGTAAATCTGTGGCTCATGTAGTAAAGCCCCAGCCTTCAGCAAAAAAGAGACAGCACCCAACCCAGGCCCTGGGTCTGAGCCCCAGTACCAGCACAAGAATAAATTAGTTAATTTAATTTAATTCTGAGGGTAACCTACCATTTAGGAACTAAATAAAGTAAGAAAGATACAGAGAAGAAATTATCAGAGAAGTATAAACTCTCAGCAAACTATAGATAGACCATTTGGGAATGAGAGAGAAGCTAACATGAAAAAATAAAAGGTGGGCCTTGGGGGAAGAAATAAGGATCATTCTTAATCTTTCTAAAATTAGAGAGCAAGGTATATGAACAAAGTAACTTGGGGAAAAAAGGAGGGGTGTAGAAAAGGATAGTTTGCATGAAAGGAAAGTAGGATAGAAGGATAAGAACTGAGCACAAGTGCAGAAAGTACAAAGCAAAAAAAGGGGGGAAGGATTTAGAAGAGATATTACTATTTTTACTACTTTCAGTAAAGAAAGTGATCTAATAATACCATTAGAACAAATGTGGACTATTGAATTTGATAGACTTCATAGAAAAGGGCATGGTTACCACTTAAATTTTGGTAAAATCTGGGTTCTAAAATATTAAAATAACCATAATATTATATTGATTCTTAATTTATATATCCTTAAGAGTCCCAGGTATCCTTCCTGAGTAGTTTATTATATCATTACAATTTACTGACATAATTATCTCATTAACAGACATTAAGGACTAATTTATAGAAATTGCCATAACTATGTTCATCCATTCCATGAACTATGTTCATTCCCTTCAGGAACAACCCATATGAGAATGATAAGGCTTTTGCATCCTGCTTATTATTATTCTATTACTGTCTGTATCATTCTTATACTTTCTCCTGGTAATCTTGGTTTCATTTCCATACTCTTGAGAAAGAGAGTATTGCTAAAAACTTAAAAACAATGAGTTTTAAATAAGTGTGTTCCTTTGAAGAAGAAAAAAAGAATAGAGTAAGATCCTTATGGAATCTTCCTCAATTAAGCTATAGTTTCAAGACAGCTCTTCTTTTTACCAAAAAATGATTTTCTTGGATGTAAACTGCACACTTTGATTCTAGCCCCAAGGTTGCTATGAGAAAACCAAGGTTAGAACTGTTTACTGAATGAGTGAAGAAATTAAGAGCAGACCTTGACATTGTTCTGCTGCTAAGTTCCAGGCTGTCTCCTGAAAACCACATGGAACGGTCTCTTCTTCCCACAATACTTTTAAAAATAGCCTAGCCGATAATGAAATTGATTGAAAAACTTTAAATATAGAAAACTTTGGGATCTTTCGGTCTTCTTATCCAATAATCATTGAGTGCTGAGTATTGACCCTTTTAAATACTATGAATAGGGCATAAAAGTTACAGTCTTTGTTCTCAAGATTTTTTTTTAGAAGCCAATGTCCACCGTGCAACATAAATTGTTTAATTTTTCTAAGTTCCAGCTTTGTATTCTATGAAAACAATAATCATGAGTGCCTTTCTGGGATGTTGAGAAGAATGAAGATATGAATATAATGTGCCTGGCACATAATGAACAGTCAAGGGATAATTAGGAGTAGTGTGTGCTATTGTTGTTCACAGTAAGCTTAAACAGGAAAGAAGCAAGCAAAATAGGCCTTCAAGAACACTTCAGCAATATTTATATGATATCAAGCATCACTGCTTAAAGGATTAACAACTTTCAGGCAGTAGATTCCAAGAGCAGTATATAATTTAGGTGGACTTGGGATTTTATAAGAATTACTTCCAATTCAATTACTCTCAGTAACTCTCGTGTCTACCTTCCTGCTATATCTTAACGCAGATCCTTTTGCATGCTAGACATTACTTTTTCCTGAAAGCTTCATTTCTGCTCCCTACCAGAAAGTATATCCTTTTGGGGATTACACTTTATTCCTGTTGCCTCTTTCTAATTCCCTATTTGCTCAGGTCTTGGTGTATCATCTCCTTGTGTCACAGGTTTAATTTGTATGTAATAGATCCATAGGTAACAAATTGTTTTCATTGTCCTGTCTATGTGAGCCTGGTTGTTGGCTGCAAATTTTATAATAGATGTTTCACTTAATAAAAAAATAAACATTTAAAATAATTTGAGGTTTGCTTTTAAGTATCATTAACCTTAAGATGAAGTTAGACTAGGAAGGAATAAGGGGAAATGCTGACCCTTAATTCTTCTCTGTCATAGTAGTTTGAAAAAGGATAGAAATTGTTCTCATCTCAATGAAACAGCTTGTCTACTAGTCATGGCTTGAGAGAAAACCCCAAAATGAAGATTCTAAAGTCTAAGAAGGGCAGCCATAGGTTTAAATTACTATCTTTCCTGGTCAGTCTTATCTTTGGATTTTACAGTTTTTGCAGTAAAAATTATCAGCTATTATTGTTATATTAAACTACTAATGGACTTTGTACCTTAGTCATTATAATAAGATTTTCTTATAATAATAATGCTACTAGAGGGTTTTTTTTGTTTTTGCATTGTTTTTTTTGCAGTTGTAATAGCAGTTTTATACAACATTACTGCAATTTATAACTACTAATAAAATTGTCTTTAAAGCCATAGCCAGCAAATTTACTCTCAATGATACTACAGAAATTTTTATGACCTTAAAAACTCACTATGACAGGCTAATACTTTTGAATTTTTAACCAATGGCATTTGTAGTAGTTTTTCTATGTATCTCCTCTTACCCTGTGGCTCTTTTTTTTTTCATATGGTACCTTTAGTATCACACCCACCCTAATTTAGGCTGCACTTTGCTCATTGTGTCAGGAAAGAATGTCGAAAAAATAATTTTCTCTTGGCTAGCCTTTAAGGAATACTGGAATTAAATCCAGTTAGAGACATAGTGCTCCATAAATAACCTCTAGCCACAAATGACTCCTGAACACCTGAAATGTGGATGGGCAAATTGAGACATACTGTTAATTTAAAATATACAAATTTCAAAGACATATTAAGTTAAAAAAATTCAATGTATCTTATTAACAATTTTTATACTGGTTACATATTGAAACTAATCTTTTTTAATATACTGTGTTAAAAATATGAAAAAAAAAGACTGGTGGCTCATACCTGTAATCCTAGCTTCTCAGGAGGCTGAGACCTGAGGATTAAAGGCTCAAAACCAGGCCAGAAAAGTCTGTGAGACTTTTAACTCAAATTATCTGCCAAAAGCCAGAAGTCAAGCTGTGGCTCAACTGATAGAGCACCATCTTTGGTGCTAAAAAGCTAAAGGACAGTGCCCAGGCCCTAAGTTCAAGTACCAGTACTAGTACTAAAAAGCAGGAACGAAAAATTTATTTCTTAGTATGATTACTAGTATAGATAAAGAATATGTATATAGCTTACACTATTTTTCTGCTAGAGAGTGTTAGTATAGACAGTTGCTTTCACAATGATAAGAAACAGATTTCTGTGCAGAAGGGGAAGAAGAAATTGGAGCAAGTATAGAGGGCAAAAATGCTAGTAGATCTCTGACACTAGGACCTATTCTTACTCTCTTCTGGCATAGGCTTTAAAGAAGCTTGTTACAGCAATGTCAAGACCTACTACAGGATCTGAGAACTGAGAGATTCAACATTCTCTTTGATAGAACCCTGAGATTTGGCAAGCCTCTTAAGAAAAGGCTGGACCAGGCAGGGCTGTATAT